AAAAAAAAAAAACGGTTAGAGAGGGAGGGAGCCAAAACATAAGAGACTCTTAAAAACTGAGAACTGAGGGTTGATGGGGGGTGGGAAGGAGGGGAGGGTGGGTGATGGGCACTGAGGAGGGCACCTGTTGGGATGAGCACTGGGTGTTGTATGGAAACCAATCTGACAATAAATTATGTTTAATATAAAAAATAATACAAAAAAGAAATTAAAAAAATACAAAATAAGCATGACTGCCTGCCGTAAGGCAGAGATGGTCAGTGGGCCCTACTTACAAAGTATCCCTGTGTCCACAACGCGACAGCTTCCTCGATGCCAGAGACCCCCGGGCTTATCAAATGTCTGCTTGTCTTTGGGGCTCACCTGAGCGATCTCGTAACACGCTTCCCGTCTTCATCGCCCGCCCCGAACACCGCTTCTCGCAGGCAGAAACTAGCACTTGCTTCTCTTTGCCCGTGCTGCTCCCTATGCATGTTGCCCAGCACACCCCGCGCTTGCCACAGACACTTGTTACTGAGTGGCTTTTAAACAGAAGTCCTTGCTCACAAAAAATTTCATAATTTCCCTACGAACTAAAACAGCAATACGCATCTGAAAACTGCAAGTATACGTAATCCTATGTCCACAAAACTCCGACAAAACCACAGACCCCAGCAGAGGAGGATTTCAGGAGCGGCAGTCATCAGGGCCACCTTGATGGGACTCCGGAGGGCAAGTGCAGGACGAGGTCTGAGCAGCGGTCCTCAACCTCAGCCACACTTCCAAATCGCTGTACTAACACATCCCTACACCCGGGCCGCACCCCAAAGCGACCAAATCAGAACCTCTGGAGGCCAGACCTGCCATCGATGCCGGGAGAGGAGGCTGAAGGCTGACTACGGACGCTTCAATGTCCGGTTCTCTCTGATTAGCAAAGAAGGGTCAGGGAAGGATTCCATGCAAGGAGAGGACAGACCCTAAGCCGTCATCACATTTTAAACGTCCGAAGGGCTTTCGTGTCCCCTGTTTCATTTACTCCTCCTGACACTTGCATGAGGTAGTACGATCCCGATTTAAGAATTAGGACAATGTGGGCCAGGGAGTGATGGCTGCTAATTGTTAACAGTCATGAGTCCAAGTCTTAGGTTCTCCTCCACCCCAAAGCTGTGAGGTTAAGATGGTGGTGGGGGGTGCCCTGGGAAGATTGGTTTGCAAGAACGGAGAGGGCGGCCCTGGGATGGGAGATAAGGACGCCCCCCTGAGCACGAACTACATGCCAGGCAGAAAGGAGTTCTCACTCCTACCAGCTCGTTTACTCCCCACGTGCTCCCCAGGGTCAGTCACCTCCTTTCCCTGGTTTCACAGACAAGGCAGCTGACGTTGCAAAGGGTGGGGTGGCTTGCCCGAGGTCACTGAGTAGCAGGCCAGGGGCGGGATCCGAATCCGCACTGCCCATCGTCATGGCCACAGCTCGGAAGCCCCCGCGAGGCCGTCCTGAAGCCGCCAGGGCCTGGAACAACTGGCAGCTGGAGGGGAGAGGCCTCCCCTCGCTTCTCAAAAACCTACTGGACGCAGTGTGGGTGCCAGAGTTCTCCTGGACGGCAAGTGTGGACTAAAGACGCAAAGGCAGGGGTCCGGACTCGGTGAATCCCTGCAGGCAGGTGGCAGTGGGAGGGAAAAGCCCCTGAGGGCACAGGTTTGGGGGTTGGGGGGGGGAGAACGAAGGGGACCCCGGAGAGCTGGCTCCGTGGGGGACGTGCCAGAAGACGGCGCCGCCACGGAGGTTCCGTGCCCTGGGGAGCGCTGCGGCCAACTCTATGGCCTGGAGGGCTCTTGGGTCAGGGCCCAGCCCAGAGTCCTGGCCCCGGTGACGCAGCGTCAGCACAAGCTGCGACCGGATCTACGGCACCCGCCAGTGGAACGACGGCGTGCGGTGGCTGTTTCCTCGGCGGGCCCGTGTGCCTGGGGCCGAGCAGCCGGCCTCACCCACCCTCTAAAATGCCAGCGCCCCGCACGTGGCAGAGAAGCAGGGCTCTCCCTCCATTTCAGAAGTGGGTTGCCACCAGTCTACGTTCAGAATTTCCTCTAACACATTAACTCTCTAGGGGGTGTTTACGTCCAGCGCCCAGATCATCACGCGTAGGAGGGACCAAAACACCGGCTGGATGGGGAGACTTTATACGTGTCCCAATGATCATTAAACAGGGGTCAGCTGAAAGGCGGGCCAAGCAGGAACGAGAAATGCTTGCTCTGTTCCCCGCATCATAACAACGGATGTGCCAGCCGGAGGAAGGGGACATTTGTCCTGGACACAGCCCAGCACTTGCGGCCTCCAGGTGGGTGGGTGCTCACTGTGGTTTACCGGAAAGCTCGTTCACGAAAGAGAAGAAACATACCAGGATCGGACCCATCCTTAAGTGGGGGGGAAGTTCACACCCTTACAAAAAATGCTGTTTTTCCCCTGATGATCTAAAAATTTGTTTTCCTTAGAAATTATTTTCTTCCGATTTAGTGTGAAGTCAACGTTACAGACACCACCAGAGGCTTCTCTCAGAAGTCCAAATGTAGGTCTTATTTGTAATAATAATAAAAAAAAAGCACTGGGTTTCGGGTTTCCAATTATTAAAGTAAATAAGAGTATTCCCACCTGAGAGAAATGTTTCCCACAAATGTTACATTCAAAAGGTTTCTCACCTGAAACAAAACAAAATAACAACTTGTAAAATCATTAGTCACATCAGCACCACAATTTTGTTTAAAATGTTGACACCATCTCCGCTGCCCTCTCAGAAGACAGTGTCGCCTTCTTTCCCAAAGTACGAGCGTGGGCAGAGTCCCCACGTCCTCCTGATTGTCCCGCACCCCCCTGGACGGCGCAGAGGCCATCTGCCCGACAGCAGCGGCCTGCTCCCCTGCCCTTCGGCCTGAGTCCTTTACCACCAGTTTCCGACACGGCCAGGGAGCCTCGTTCGCACCACACGAGGCGGTCACACAGGGGTGGACTTCAAGCGTGCCGGGGAAGACCCCTCTCCGCCGCCTTTCGGTGGCTGACGCGCGCTCACAGGGGAAAACAAGATTCAGCAGGGAGACGCGCTTCCCTGGCCACCGCCGGCCTCTGCGTCCTGGAACAGAACAGACGGGCGACCTCTGTCCAGAGTGGACGCCACCCCAGGGGAACCACCGCAGCTCTGACCCGGCGCAGAGAGCAGGAAAAGCGTACTTCAAGGTTCCCCTGTGGCCTGTAAAACCTACTATGCTTTGAAGACCAAGAATCCCCCTCAAATCAAGTGGTTTCATTAAGATTCCTTTTTTAAACATGAACGTTTCCCTTCTTCCTGTGTTGCTGAAGTTTGGCACCCTGCTAGCTCTCTGAGCTCCTGCCAGGATATTTTTTGAGTTGAACGGCTTCCTAAAACTGTTCAATGGCTTCCTCAAGGACAAGCCGGAAGTTCCGACCCTGAGTAATCATAATCACACGAATCCTGTATTTGGTGACTACATTCACGTCTGAAATTATGGGGAAGACGATAACGTCAAGTGAAAGACCCCATTCTGAGTTACAACAGTTTGAAACGAGAGGTCACCAGTCGCCGAGACTCACGAGTGACCGGGGCCAATCACCCTACGCCAGGGGGCCTCCCTTTCTGCTCTCAGGACCCCTTCGCACTCTGAATAACTGACGGCCCTAAAGAGCTTTGGTTTACATAGGCTACATCGGTGGGTAGAGCCCACGTCAGAAATGGAAACGGAGACCTTCAGAACACGCCATCAGACCTCTCGGCGGCCACCAGAGCGGCCGCAGCCTTTAGCTGACTCCACTGTGCGCCTGGAGCAGGAAAGGAGAGGGCAAGTTACATCGCAGACTCTGATGGAAAGAGTTCAGGCCCCACAGACCCCCTGGAAGGGCTCCCCAGACCGTAATCAGAGAACTGCCTGCCGCCTTCCCAATTTCTGTCCCCGTCAACACCTGTGCATGGCTGTGTGCTACTGGCATCCGAAGATGTTCCTTCAGAACAAACAATGTAATTTGTTTCCTTTAGAGCTAGAGAGAGATGTTCTCAAATAAAAATCATAACGATCGTTAGGCTCCAGGAAATTTAAGCAAACAGAATGACCTAAATAAAACAAGTTTTTTTCAGGCAACGCTGAGCCAACGACACTGCCTTCACATAAAATAATTCTGAACCACTACCACCAACGAAAGCACTTTACATGCAAACACATGAAAACGAAGGGCTGCCATATAGAAGTCTCTCGATAATGCAACGAGGTAGCAAACACCTAAGCCCGTGGGCAACCCAAAGTGGTAACAGGATGGCACGTGGACATGATCACAATGGCACAAGCACCTTAAAAGCAGTTATGCTGGAAGCACCCGTTAGCATATTACTTCTCATGCTTATAGGGGAGCTGTCATTAATTCACGTGCAGTAGAGTCACCCAGTTTAACTACAGGAAGGAAAGTAACACGTAAGTGTCGTGTAATGTAAGTCATATAGCATATAAGTGTCGTGTAACGTCGTATCCGTGACACTTAGCATTTGGAAAAAATAAACTTTCTGGAGAAAGGACGAGGTATGAATTAGGGTACTAAGCCTCTGAAAATTCAACGTTCAAAGAAGAATTACCATTTGAAAACCAATTATCAAACGGTTAAAGCTGATCCTTATTAAAAAGTGTACCTCTTCCTTCCAAACCGCAATTTGAAAAAATCTGATATTAACATGGCTTCCCAGAGACCTTTTACTATTACCCTCAGTTATTTTGGTCTGGATGAACCTACAACATCATGCTTTAAAAAAATATAAAGTTCATCTAATTCTAAAGAGCAAATACAGCTTATCCGTTTTAGAACATATCTGAGATTTTCAGCGCGTCAAAACAATTCGCTACGCTTCTTCAAAGCTGGAAGGTTTATCACACAAAGCCACGATTAAAAACGAAAAGTGTGCCTTCTTTTGCAACTGGTTCTACGAGAGCGTCTACAGAACTCCGAGATTGTTCTTTAAGAGTAATCACCAACAACGTCAGAGAAAGAGCAGCTAACGCTCCTGGATTTTCTGGGGGATTATCAATGGCGTCATCGAGCAACAGCAAAACTTCTTACAAAAGCAGAGCAGGCAGTGGTGTCTGAGCGTCTGGGTCAGGTCCTTTCCTTTGCCTGCGGGCACTGAATCAGTGTACCTGTGTGAGACCGTTTGTGAAGCTCCAGGTTGCTTGGGTGTTTAAAAGGTTTCCCACACAGTTCGCACGCGTACTGTCTCTGTGGCTGGAGCATCTGGGACTGGTCCTCCAGTGCCGCGGGGTCCTCGGGCCGCTCCGTGTCGTTCACGCAGTTCGAGCGCTCAGAGCCGATGAGCTCCCCGCCTCCTCGCCCCTCAGCACTGGGGCCGCTGGCTTCCTCCCGCGCATCTGCGCCGGCGGGGTCTGCCCGCTCGGTCACACCGTCCTCCCGCCTGGCTTCAGACGCCGGCTCCGCGGGTGTCCGTGACCTGAGGAAGTTGAGCCTCTTCAGGTGGATGGCCTTTTTGAGCCTCATCTGCTTGGCCGGGGGCTGGCGCGTGCTGTCAGACCCCGGGTCCGGGTCCCGCTCACTCAGGGGCGGGGCCGAGCAGTGCGGAGGCAGGAGCCCCGCAGGCTGCCGGCCGGCCACGCCAGGCTGGCGCTCCCCGGCACCGAGGCCCGTGGGGGTGCTGGACGGGAAGGGCGGCTCGCCCACCCTCCCGTGACCGGGACAGGCAGCCTGTTTATAGTACTGCTTACTGTAGAAGTTGCGGAGTTTGTAGCAGTAGCTCTGCCTGAGAGGCAGCTCTGGGCCGCTGGCCTCTAGCGGACCGGGCGCCGGTTTGGGCGCTTCGCCCGCAGGGTGATGAAGATTAACTGACGGGGGAGCGTGAGAATGGGGTTCATCCAACACCTTACTCTGCTGAACCTCCGCGGGACACTCCTGCAGCAGAGGAGGAGGGTAGTTTTCGCTGACGACACAGTTGGCGTCAGCAGCCAGAGCGCTCTGCAGGGAGAACGTACTGTTACAGGACACGCCAGGGGGCTGTTCCACAGCGGCCGATTTTAAAAACGTGTGACACAGATTCAGAACGTTTTGAACCTGCAAGCACTGGGCTATGTCCAGCACTACTCGTATGTTGTCCTGGTTAAGATCTAGATGGGACGTGTACATGAAGTCCAGGATCTGCCCGATGCCGCTGACGTTTTTAACATCCAGGTGAAAAACATCACTTTTTTGGCCTGAAGAATTCTGAAAGAGGCTCCTGATAAAAGAAAGGATAGCTGTTTATAGTATGATTACTTTTTTCTTATGAGTAATACTCATGTTAATATTCAAGAACACTATCCTGTAAATGCTGAGATTTATGTTTTGTTATTAATTTCATTTTAGAGAGAGTGTGAGAGGGGGAGAGGGGCAGAGAAAGAGAGAGAGAGAGAGAGAGACAGAATCTTAAGCAGGCTCTGCACTGAGCATGAGGCTCAATCCCATGACACTGGGATCATACTGGAGCTGAAATCAAGAGTGGGATGCTTAACCAACTCAGCCACCCAGGTGCCCCTACATGCCAAGATTTTTAAATGAAGTACATTTTAATCCTTTAAAAAGTGTTGGCAAGCTGTCCAATAAAGCAATTCAGATGAATTAAATTAGTGTGCTGGATATTCAACCTTCCAAACAGATCTCAAAGTAAAATTCTGAAACATACTCATTGTTCTTTTCAAAGTATAATTATCCATATGTATGATCAATTGCATACAGATAGAGTATTTCATGTCTAGTCTGGCAAACTATATTTCAGACCGTAAAACACATAACAAAAACATTTCCACATCTAAGTGCCTTAAAAATGTCTAAAAATAAAAATAACTATAAGAAACCAACACTCGACACTCATTCTTTTTTTTAATTTTAGTTTGTTTAATTGTGGCAAAATATACGTAATATTTACCATCTGGTCCATTCCTAAGTGGTTAAAAATGTTAAACATAGCTCCAACGGGAAATCCAGTGGCATGAAGTACATTCACATTGCTGTGCCCCCATCACCACTGTCCATTTCCAGAACGTTTCATCTTCCCACACCGAAACTCTATACCCACGAAACAATTAACTT